CCAGGCTCTTATTTATTGCCACCAATTCATTTTAACCATCTTTTTCTTTTTTATTCAAAACTGCAATTATAATATCTTTCTATTAATTTTGTTAATAATCTATTCAATATGTTCCTCCTATTCTTTAATATCTCTAATTATTGTCTTATATTTACTGATGGTCCAATAAGCTCTAATTCCGCTGATTTCTCTTTCTTTATTCCTAGTCTTAATATTAAATTTTCAGATATTCTCCCTTCACAATCTTGTTCTTTTACTACTATTTGGTAATGAGGTGGCTGACCATTTAGCCAAATTTACCAAATTCATTACCCGTCCTACAACCCTCAATATTCCTTCATCTGACCTCATTTCACCCCTTAATAAGACGATATTTCAAGCATATTATTTCAGAATATTGGTTTTCTCTTTTCTTTCTCATCACAGCTTGGAACAAATCGATTTCACCGACTATTCTTAATCACCCTTGGTTCCATAAACTTCCTCTCTCCCGGTTCCATATATTATCCTTTTCTCGGCTAAAACTTGATCATAATCGCCTTCCTTTTCATTTGTACAAAATGTCCCTTAACAATTCTCCTTTCCTGCCCAAACATGACGATAAAGTTCTCTGCGATTTTCCTCGTATAATTTTTGACTGCTGTGCTTTTGAAAGTAATCGTTCTATTTTATTTAATTATTTATCTCATCATTATATCTCTCCTATTAATTGTTGCACTATTCTTAACTTAACTTCTCTCGATGTAATTTCTTTAGTTATTTCTTTCATTTATTCAGATGGTTTTTTAATTTAACTATTTTTACTGTAACATTATTGTAATTTCGTTAATGTAAGATCAATTGTACTATTTTTTTATTTTCTCTTGTTATTTCATTGTTAATTTTCTAAATTGTTAAGCTATAATAATACTTTGTATTGAAAGCTAATAAAAAAAAAAATGGTAATATATTCGATTAATCGTATCTAAATACGATTTGTGATAGTTTGACAAATCATTCAAAGAAATCGGTTCGGTGGCAACTGAGAAAAAGTGGTAAAAGACACAAAAAAAATACATAATAGTAAAATTAATACTTTCTCAGCTTCGCATCGAAATTAAAAATCAAAATGGTCCATATATAATATATTAATGAAATTTAATATTTTTATTTTAAAAAGAGCATATATATGGAATGTGCCGTATTACTGTATTATAAACACATTATTATAAAGAAAATAAAACAATAAAAGGGTCAATTGGTAGTTACTTTTAGCTAAAATGCCTTAATCAAAAAAGTTTTCGGTAATTAAATCACTCTGACTCTAATTATTATGTTATGTTCAATTTAATACAATAAACTGAAAATCACTAAAAGCACAGACGACAATATACCATGATGGGGGTAATTAAAAATAATATAATAAGCCTTAGTTCTGCTTGCACGTCTATGAGCGAGCGTGCCAGAGAGCGAGTCGGCACTTTTTTTGAAACTCTGAATTCAATATAGAGTTCAGGATTCTTTTGTCTAATTCATTTTTATCAAACTAGCCGCGATCCCGTGTTGTCATCGGTATATTTTAAGACAATATTGAATATAATCTCATTTTTCCGTCAAGACTTTATTTATTTATTTAAAAGAAGTATTATACATTTTTACGGAAGCTATATAAAAAAAATAAGTAAATTTATATTAACCCAATTATTACGAATTAATAATCTGAGTGATGAATGATAAAGCAATAGATTATATATTTATATTCATTTTCTAACTTTAATTAATTATTACTAACTAGTTCGTACCTTATACATAAACACATTATATGGTATTCGTGAGAACCTCTTTGTTGTAATACACCGGGGATTATTTCAGGTACTTACCAGTTAGGTAATTTGTAATACCTCTATAGAGGAACTTTAATCATTTCTTTTTATATCTACTTGTCTTAATTGTTCTAAACCCGCGAACTCTACAACGCCGATAGAATCTCGTTGCTCACGATTTTATCAAATCCCAAAAATAAACAACCCTGGTCAAAATACCCATAAATTCTTACAATCATTTAATATATTTTTACTTTGTTATTTTAAATTATAATACAATCCTTTATTTCAACTGATACCTTCCTTATCGGGCTTGGTGCTGAATTATTTAAAATAGGCAATGACTAACAACATCATATTATTGCCTTTGTCAGCGGTTCATTATATGGTTCAGAACGCAATTATTCTTTAACTGAATTTGAGTTGTTACCTATTTTCTTTATTTGATTATAGACGTCATAGACTACCATAAAGTAATGCTTTATAACAGTTCCAGATTAGTTCGTAACAAATTCGGCGGGTGTTAAGAAAAAAAAATGTCTAATAGCATACTATAAATTATTCGGATAATTAATTACTCGGTAAGTTGACGTGTATAAGGTATAAATCAAATATTAAAACATATTTAGAGGATTGCTTGTAATTATGATTATATCATACTCATACGTAATATTATTATAATTAAATAAATAATTAGTTCTACAATTGTCATATGTAATATCTAAATACACCTATGCATTTATTAATAATATATATATACAGGTTGTCTTGTATCATTACTCAATTACTTCAAAATAATACGATAAAGAAAAAACTAATAAAACACTTATATTGCAAATCTTCAAAATATTCCTGTATTTTTTATATTAGCAGCAATATTTTCGTTTTATATTTGTTTAAAGTCTATAAAATTATCTAATTTTAAAACATCTGAAGCTAGGTTAATATTAAAAAATTCTCTGAAACTCACCACACTTTAATTCTTTAACATAATAATCCACATCCTCTGCATCAATCGTTAATTGATCAAATGAATTAATGATTTCTATAAGTTTTTCTAAGGTAACATGGTCATTAGTATCCTTCTTAAGATTAAATTGGCACTTTAGTTCATTGACAGTTTCTTCATTAAGCTGCAATTATTGAATGAACATAACTTTAAAACAATATAAATTTTTATCTTTAACTCTTATTTGAAATAAAAATAATAAAAACAATAAAATTAAGTATGAATTATTTTTTATGGCCATTAATTCATAGCTCTGTAATAATATATTATTACTTATAATATTAAAATATTATATTATGTTATCTTTTGTACATGTATGTCATATATTATGAATTGACAAGATCACCAAAACAGGGTTCCCTTATTTAAAATTTAAAATAATCAATAAATTAGGCAATTAAATCTGATTATCGTACAGATTCAAAGTAACGCCTATGTGTGGGTTTTCAATTAAGTCCAGCCAATCACATTTAACTATTAATTAAGATCTACAGTTTCTAAGAGCACACTAGGGATCGCTACACGACCCTCGTCTACTATAAAAACCCATTTTTTCCTATTAAAATCAGTTCTTTCGACGATTTTAAAGTACACAAAATCTGCGACACTCTACTCAAGATTCTTACTCTCTGGGACTTAGTCGACTTTTTTAATTTATTTGGACTTAGAATATTTTTTCTTTAAAACTAAATGACACTTAGAGATTTTAAAGTGAATTTTGTTTTGGTGAATCCTTTAATTTAATTTAATTTGTTCATTAAATAATAATGTTTTATTTTATCGTGGAAATAAATGTCAATTGATATGTTGAACCTCAAACATTTTTTTTTAAAATTATTTTTATATATATAATAAAACCGAATCAACTCTAATTTTCTCAGTTAATGGTAAATATTTATTATATGACTAAGTGTATTGCAACTCTATNCATTTTTATCAAACTAGCCGCGATCCCGTGTTGTCATCGGTATATTTTAAGACAATATTGAATATAATCTCATTTTTCCGTCAAGACTTTATTTATTTATTTAAAAGAAGTATTATACATTTTTACGGAAGCTATATAAAAAAAATAAGTAAATTTATATTAACCCAATTATTACGAATTAATAATCTGAGTGATGAATGATAAAGCAATAGATTATATATTTATATTCATTTTCTAACTTTAATTAATTATTACTAACTAGTTCGTACCTTATACATAAACACATTATATGGTATTCGTGAGAACCTCTTTGTTGTAATACACCGGGGATTATTTCAGGTACTTACCAGTTAGGTAATTTGTAATACCTCTATAGAGGAACTTTAATCATTTCTTTTTATATCTACTTGTCTTAATTGTTCTAAACCCGCGAACTCTACAACGCCGATAGAATCTCGTTGCTCACGAATTTATCAAATCCCAAAAATAAACAACCCTGGTCAAAATACCCATAAATTCTTACAATCATTTAATATATTTTTACTCTGTTATTTTAAATTATAATACAATCCTTTATTTCAACTGATACCTTCCTTATCCGGGCTTGGTGCTGAATTATTTAAAATAGGCAATGACTAACAACATCATATTATTGCCTTTGTCAGCGGTTCATTATATGGTTCAGAACGCCATTATTCTTTAACTGAATTTGAGTTGTTACCTATTTTCTTTATTTGATTATAGACGTCATAGACTACCATAAAGTAATGCTTTATAACAGTTCCAGATTAGTTCGTAACAAATTCGGCGGGTGTTAAGAAAAAAAAATGTCTAATAGCATACTATAAATTATTCGGATAATTAATTACTCGGTAAGTTGACGTGTATAAGGTATAAATCAAATATTAAAACATATTTAGAGGATTGCTTGTAATTATGATTATATCATACTCATACGTAATATTATTATAATTAAATAAATAATTAGTTCTACAATTGTCATATGTAATATCTAAATACACCTATGCATTTATTAATAATATATATATACAGGTTGTCTTGTATCATTACTCAATTACTTCAAAATAATACGATAAAGAAAAAACTAATAAAACATTTATATTGCAAATCTTCAAAATATTCCTGTATTTTTTATATTAGCAGCAATATTTTCGTTTTATATTTGTTTAAAGTCTATAAAATTATCTAATTTTAAAACATCTGAAGCTAGATTAATATTAAAAAATTCTCTGAAACTCACCATACTTTAATTCTTTAACATAATAATCCACATCCTCTGCATCAATCGTTAATTGATCAAATGAATTAATGATTTCTATAAGTTTTTCTAAGGTAACATGGTCATTAGTATCCTTCTTAAGATTAAATTGGCACTTTAGTTCATTGACAGTTTCTTCATTAAGCTGCAATTATTGAATGAACATAACTTTAAAACAATATAAATTTTTATCTTTAACTCTTATTTGAAATAAAAATAATAAAAACAATAAAATTAAGTATGAATTATTTTTTATGGCCATTAATTCATAGCTCTGTAATAATATATTATTACTTATAATATTAAAATATTATATTATGTTATCTTTTGTACATGTATGTCATATATTATGAATTGACAAGATCACCAAAACAGGGTTCCCTTATTTAAAATTTAAAATAATCAATAAATTAGGCAATTAAATCTGATTATCGTACAGATTCAAAGTAACGCCTATGTGTGGGTTTTCAATTAAGTCCAGCCAATCACATTTAACTATTAATTAAGATCTACAGTTTCTAAGAGCACACTAGGGATCGCTACACGACCCTCGTCTACTATAAAAACCCATTTTTTCCTATTAAAATCAGTTCTTTCGACGATTTTAAAGTACACAAAATCTGCGACACTCTACTCAAGATTCTTACTCTCTGGGACTTAGTCGACTTTTTTAATTTATTTGGACTTAGAATATTTTTTCTTTAAAACTAAATGACACTTAGAGATTTTAAAGTGAATTTTGTTTTGGTGAATCCTTTAATTTAATTTAATTTGTTCATTAAATAATAATGTTTTATTTTATCGTGGAAATAAATGTCAATTGATATGTTGAACCTCAAACATTTTTTTTTAAAATTATTTTTATATATATAATAAAACCGAATCAACTCTAATTTTCTCAGTTAATGGTAAATATTTATTATATGACTAAGTGTATTGCAACTCTATACTTATTGGGTAGCTAATCTTTTGTGGTTTAATGTCTTTGTTTTAACGAACATCGCGCCGGCAGACAGCACAGAGAAACTTACGAATATATGTTTTAGTGTTTAATTTTGTCTTGGTGATTATTGTGCCGCATCCTTTCAAGGCGATACCGCCGGGACACATTGGGCCACCACAATTCTGCCTTGACAAATCTTTTACATAGATATAAATATTTCTGAATCTTGTTTTGGCCAGACCAGAGGAAAATTTAAGAAATATTGGTGTCGATCTCTCAATAAAATATAATCTCATTAATAATATACTCATTCTACAAAGTCAACTAAAGATACATTACTTGATTATAATTATAAAAAAATATAGAGTGTATAGAATCTCCTGCATATAATAATACAGTCATAGATTTTGTGTAACGGTTTCGCATTATTTATAATTAAACGCTTTATTCTCAAACGGTCATATTTACTGTCGAACTCGTCTGTATGCAATATGTAATATANCGAACGTGTGAAATACAGTGTGAACTCATAATCAACATTGGATTGTCTAAAATAAGCATTACATTACGTGGGATACAAGGTAAGAACAAATTTAAATTTCTGCTTTCAAATTATAAATATCCTATTGCGTAATAAACCATTAAGATAGTTAATAAAGTTTTGTAGGATAATTGACTTCATTTATTCAATATTGTTCAACCCCAAAATCAGAACATTATTTTTGTCACAACGTTTGTATACATTTTTATTTATTTGATCATTACCCTCATGTATTTAAACTCCGTTTATTCACCCTTCTGAATTCTTCTTCATTCGTATCATTATATCCTTTGCACCCTTACATATCTTGCCATATTTAAACATGTGCTACTCAGCCATTTATTATCTTATTTAATCATTTTTATTATTATTCGGCCATACATACGCTATATTATATCTTTAGTCTGACTAAGAATCAATCCTCAGATTTTCTTTTGGTATAATATAAGCATTCACACCTTCAATAGTGAAATCCACATCACCACCATTTTTATCCTCCATTATTCATTTCCCTTAAACCTACATATTATTATTGGTTATATCATAATATTTACTCCCCATAACAAACACTCCTTTTCTTAAACCATCTCGAACCCTCTCATATTATCTTTATTTTCTATTTTCTATAATTTAAATTTTTACTCTTTTCTTTTCTTATTGGTTTATTACAGCTCCGACTTTGTCGGAAATGCTAAAATTAACACTACTGAATTAACTATAAAAAATTTTTGCTATAAATAAATGTCTCTTTTTAAAAAGAAAATAAAAAAAAATTTGATACGATTTTAAACCGTCACAGTACTTTGGTTAATGATAAAAATATTAAAAAAAAAAGAAAAGATGTTGGTAATGCAAATATTTGAAGTATAATCAATGAAATATTAGTAACTAGGCTCCGCCTAGCTGGGGCTCTGCCCCAAACCCGGAGCCCTTCGGCGCGTAAGCCTCTTCGGGCCTTCATCATAAGTAGGCCACTGATTCCGGTAGGGGTACCCGGGAACGCCGGGCACGATAAGTGTTTTTCAGAAAAAATATTACATCAGAATCAGTGCAATAAAGTATATATAAAAATGTTATTATTAAAATCAGAAAAATTCAAAAAGAGAATATAGTAAAATGTATTAGGTATAAGGTTGACGTTTGTTAATGAGGTATTCCCTTTAGGCCTATTCAAAAATTATTTTAGGAGGATAATTAATATTTTTTACTTTGTTAAACATGTTATAGAAATTTTTTTGCTAAAAATTAAAGTAATGATGAAAAAAAAGGACATTGGGTCCTTATATATTAGAAGTTGCCTAAAAAATATTGATAGCGCTGGTTCAAGGGGGGCCTATATCTCTCTTAAATACACCCCTGTTATACACAAAAATTATTAATAATCTAATTTTAATAATTGTGTTTATATTATAAAATAATTAAAAAAAAATTTAGCAGGTTATATTATACATGGCACATTGTAAAAAATTTTATTTTGATAAAAATATTAGTAACTGTGATTAACGTTGAACAGCATAGTTATCATTCATGAATCCCAATTCAAACGATAAACTCATAGTCTTATAAATCATATATGAGAAAAAAAAGATTATTAATAATGTACTGTTCTGATAATGAAAGTACAAACTTATATAATTATGACGTCTTGAAATTTATATATAACATATAATATTCCTTGATAAAATATAGTGCAAATGCAAAATAGTGTCCTAATAATAATACATATTATTATATAGGAATCTTATTGGGCGAGTCTGGTGAAAATTTCAAACCTTAAGTCATAAAACGCTGGCGTCAGCGAGCGTTATTCTCGAAAACTGTGGAAATTTTAAAACGCTTGCGGGCGAGCGGCAAAAATTTTCCGACCTTCGCCAATAATTTTCCCGGAGTCTGGTGACCGAGTACTTCCGTTGAAAAAAAAAATTTTGAAGATCCGAGCACGCTAAGTAGTTTTCCCAGAAAAGCGTTTTTTTCCTTGTTCTATTATATAATAAGATAATCTGTTCAATTTATAAAAAAGTATTTCAATATAGAGTTAAAACTAAAAATATCAACATTGACTGTTTTAAGAAAATTTTAAATATCAAAATGAAAGAAAATATATTATTTCAATTAAAAAAAAGAATTGTTCATCCATTTATAAAAATTATATAGGCTCTAATTTTTAGTTTTTATCTTCGACGCAAATCTGAAAAGATATTAATTTTTCTTAAGATGTGTTTTTTTTGTGTCTGTTACCACTTTTTCTCAGGTCCCCCTGGACCGATTTTTATGAACAATATGTTAAAAGATCACAAATCGTATCTAGTCGAAGATATTACCCTCAAAAATTCCCTCGTTTCCCGTAAATAGAGGAAATCTTCCAAAAATGATAAATTTAAAAATTGCTAATTTTCGACACTTTTTCAATTTTTTTTTACTTAAAATTGGCAAATTTTTTATAATATCTCCGTAAAATTACAATACTAAATTATTAAATATCAATTTCATACTCTATTTAATTGCTATATAAAATATTTATTTATAAATTATACTTTTAAATCTAATAACTTCTAATAACGATATAAATAATTAAATAAGAGTTAATTTTGTATTTTGAATCCATCAATTTTTTTTAAATTGAACACTACCTACAGATTTGCATTGAAGCGTTTCTTATTACTCTATATACTCTATATTAACTAATTTATGTATTATTACGATGGTTTTTATATTCAAAAATATGCTATTTTTCTGTAAACCCTTGGCATTATATTTTAATTTATTTTAATATACCTTTAAGGAGAGTATACTGATTTTCATGAACATTATATAAATCTAATTGACATAGAATATAAAGTTAAACTTATTTTAATTTTTTTTTTTCTTTTAAGTCGAAAAAATTAATTTTAACATTTGAATCACCTTAAATTGCCAATCAATATAAAGTGAAAACTAAAAACATCAACAATGACTGTTTTAAGGAAATTGTAAATATCAAAACATTTTCCTTTATAACAAAAATTCAGATAAACTTCTCTAAATTATGCTACTGATAGATTCAACTAGATATGTTGTGTGATCTTTTGAAGTATCGTTAAACAATAATTGGTCCAGTAGGAGTGAAATAATTATGTATAGTACATTACTAAATTTATAATGAAGCCGTAGATTAACATATTAGTAATTTTTAAAAATCGTATATCCACGTTAAATTTAGCAATCTCAAAAATCTTTATACTTGAAACTAAATGTTTAAATATTGTTTCAAATAAAAAATTGAAACAATTTCTATAATATTTAAATTAGCAGGATTATAACCATTATAAATGACTCTAATTGTTATTATAAGCATTAAAAGATTTAAATTATTGCAAACTTTTATATATGTTATGAAAAAAATTTTACTAAGTATCAACTTAGCTGTATTATTATATTAGTTATGCTCAATATCAAAAATAAATTATTTCGGTTTAAAATTAAAATTGTTCATTCATTTATAAAAATTATATTTGGCTTTAATTTCTAGTTTTTTAATTATTCATTTATAAAATTATTTTTTTAAATGTTTAATCGTGATTAATATTTAAAATAAAAATTAAATTACAACAGAATCCGATATGCTGCCATCATCATTGGATTCATCAGTATGTAATTGATCAGATGAGTTAATGATTTCAAGTTTTTCTGAGGTAACATAGCCATTTGAATCCTTCTTAAGATTGAATTTTCCTTTATAAAGAATTATTTCTCCGTCAGTTTCATCATTAAGCTGCAATTATTGAATGAACATTAAAACAACATAAATTTTAGCTTCGATGCTGTTAAGAACCCCTAAGAATTATTTTTTAATTGCGTAGAGTATAGAATTTCTCTGTAAAAATTACAATACTAAATTAAATAAAATTTCATACTACTTTGAATTGCTATAATATATTCATATATTATACTTATAAATCATAGAACTGCTAATTAAGAATAATAAAGGACATAGAGTTAATTTTGCTTTTGGAATAATCCACCAATTTCTTAAAATTAAACACTATCTATAGATTTTCATTGAAGCGTTTCTTATGATAGTGATTTAAATCACTGTCAGATATCTAAACTCGTCTCAACTATGCCACGTCCACACTTTGACGTAACTCAACTGTGCTAGGATTTTTTTAACTTTATCTCTTATTTAAAATAAAAATAATAAAAAGAATGAAAATAAGTATGAATTATTATTTACAACTATCAATTCAAGGCTCTAGGCTTTGTCAAAAATGCTAAAAATAAAATTACCGAATTAACTATAAAGTAATGTTTGCATTAAGAAATGGTTAGACTTTAAAAAAAAATTTTACCATATGCAAAAAAATAGCTGTATCAAAGTAAATTAGTAGTACTCAATTTATATTATTGCCAAATTTTATGTATGTTATATAAATTTTACTAGGTATCGACCCTATACCTATTTACTAGGTATAGGCTCTAAATTCTAGTTTTGTAATTATTTATTTTTATTATTCATTTAAAAACCTATTTTTTAAAATGTTTAATAGTGATTAATATTTAAAATAAACTAAAATTACAACAGAATCTGATAAGCTGACATCATAATTGGATTCATCAGGATTCACAGTTAATGTAATTGACACAAGAAAATAAAATATAATTAAAAAACTTAATGAATATTTCATAATTATTTTTAATTGAATAATACTTTCGGGAATTGCTTAAATAGTTACTATTTAAAAATAAAAAATAATTTTAAAAAATGAATTTAAAGAACAAATTTAAATACTTATAATTATTTTTGTTATAATAAATATTACTAAAACTTCATAAATTTTACATAAATGAATTTGTGATAAAAATATGTTACATTTTATTTATTAACTTGAAATTATTGACTTAATAATATTCGTTTCAGCAAACATTCTGTACTTTTTTAGCTTCGATTCGAAGCTGAAAGGAATTCATTTCACTATGATGTGTTTTTTTTTTTTTTTTTTTTCTTTTGTCACTTTTCTCAGTTTTCACAGGACTGATTTCTTTCGATAAAACGACAATATATCACAAATCGTATCTAGTTGTCCTTGATAATTTAAAAAATATCCTTCGTTCGCTGTAAGTAACGCTAATTACCCCAAAAAGAACGAATTTAATATCTGTAAATTTTGGCATTTTTTTTTCTTAAAACTGCTATAACTTTTTAAAAAATGAATAAATCAAAATAATATTTTTTTATATTGAAACCTTAGGTATTTTTCAAAAAGGGGTGATTAAAAATAACAACTTAACTTTTGAAAATGTTCCGGATATACTATGTCTTTTAGATATATGTTAAATTAAAACTTATATTACATACTAAAAATTAAAAAAAATTTTGTCCCTACAATTATCTTTTACGTGCAAATTGCTACCGTTTTTTAAAAACATGCTATTTTTATATTCAAATTTTTTTTTTGTGTATTCTTAAATACGTTATAGGGTTAGCAATCGTAACGAGTCCTTCAATATTAATAAAAATTAAATTCATTTAACCCTTAAAAATTGAAAAATTTTCCCTCGTTCCCCGCAAATGGGGGAAATATCCAAAAAAATTACAAATTTAAAAATCGGTAAAATTTGTCTTTTTTTTCTTAAACTTCCATAACTTTTTCAAATATTAACAAATCAACATCATTTTTTTTTATACTAAAACCTTAGATATTTCTTTTTCATTTGATATCATTTTTTTGAAAATCTAACACTTAACCTCCTCATGGGGGGGGGATTTAAAATAGCAATTTTTTAACAAAAACTAACTTTTTCAACTTAATTTTTGAGAATGTCCCGGAAATACTGCGTTCTTTAAACATATTTCAAATTAAAGCTTATTTTATGTACTATAAAATGAAAAAAAAAAATTTGTCCCGACGACCTATCTTTTATGCGCAAATGGCTACCGTATTCAAAAATATGCTATTTTTGTATTAAAATTTTCGATTTTTGATTTTAAATTTTCAACTTAAAAGTGCTATAACTTTTTGAAAAATGTAATTATCAGCACAAATTTTTTTTGCTAAATACATTATAAGTACATCTTTCATTTGACATACTTTTTATTAAAATTAGACAATTTTTTAGTGATTTTAATCACTGTCAGATTAAATCTATACTGGACCCAACTATGCAATGTCTCCACTATGCCGCGACCCCACTGTGCTACCGTTTTGTATTTCTGTATTGTATACGAAAATTAAGTAGTAGCTCTATGAAAAACCCATTTTTGTTGTATTGCGAATTTTGCGGAAAAAAAAAGAAAAAATTGGAAAATTCTAATTTTTTCCAAATTATTTTTGGTTTTTAGGTTTTTTTAAGAGAGAAAATTACCTAAGAGTTACGTCATTGTAATTTCACAATATTTTCATGAAAAAAAAAACCCGAAAATTAACAAAAAAACAATTTTGGAGCTAGTTTTAGTCTTATGACGTATAAACTTTAAAATGCTATAACTTTTGAACCAAAAGTTTCCGTCAATTTTTTCAAACACTTTTGAAAAAAGCATAAAAAAACGAACGTTATGAAAAAAAAAATTTTTGAAAAAAAAGGGTGTCCCGTAAAGTAGATTTGTTCCACCCGCTTTTCTTCTTATTATATAAAGTTCAGTACCAACAAAATGGTTGTTACACGTATTACGAGTTTTAATTAATATTACTGAGTAATATTAATATAATATTATGTTTCAATTTATTTAACATATTTGAAAAATTGAAATTAATTTATTATAGTGAATATAATATTTTAACATTTTGTACTTTTTTTAGACAANTTGAAATTAATTTATTATAGTGAATATAATATTTTAACATTTTGTACTTTTTTTAGACAACATAATATTTAAAACATAAATATTACTTTCTTCTGCACGTGTTCAAACAATGCACGTAAAAATCATCTATAAATAATTTATTATACAGGGTGTTCAGTAAGTCAGGAAACGGGTTTCTATTGTTCTCATTGTTTGTAACAATGAGAACAATAGAAACCCGTTTCCTGACTTACTGAACACCCTGTATAATAAATTATTTATAGATGATTTTTACGTGCATTGTTTGAACACGTGCAGAAGAAAGTAATATTTATGTTTTAAATATTATGTTGTCTAAAAAAAGTACAAAATGTTAAAATATTATATTCACTATAATAAATTAATTTCAATTTTTCAAATATGTTAAATAAATTGAAACATAATATTATATTAATATTACTCAGTAATATTAATTAAAACTCGTAATACGTGTAACAACCATTTTGTTGGTACTGAACTTTATATAATAAGAAGAAAAGCGGGTGGAACAAATCTACTTTACGGGACACCCTTTTTTTTCAAAAATTTTTTTTTTCATAACGTTCGTTTTTTTATGCTTTTTTCAAAAGTGTTTGAAAAAATTGACGGAAACTTTTGGTTCAAAAGTTATAGCATTTTAAAGTTTATACGTCATAAGACTAAAACTAGCTCCAAAATTGTTTTTTTGTTAATTTTCGGGTTTTTTTTTTCATGAAAATATTGTGAAATTACAATGACGTAACTCTTAGGTAATTTTCTCTCTTAAAAAAACCTAAAAACCAAAAATAATTTGGAAAAAATTAGAATTTTCCAATTTTTTCTTTTTTTTTCCGCAAAATTCGCAATACAACAAAAATGGGTTTTTCATAGAGCTACTACTTAATTTTCGTATACAATACAGAAATACAAAACGGTAGCACAGTGGGGTCGCGGCATAGTGGAGACATTGCATAGTTGGGTCCAGTATAGATTTAATCTGACAGTGATTAAAATCACTA